CCTCCCCTTCCTCTGTCATCCTCAGGTCTTGCTGGGTCTCTCTCCCCTTCCTCTGTCATCCTCAGGTCTTGCTGGGTCGGTCTCTCTCTCTCTCTCTCTCTCTCTCTCTCTCTCTCTCTCTCTCTCTCTCTCTCTCTCTCTCTCTCTCTCCAAACAGAGCCAGGCCTCTCTAGAATTTCTTCCACTGTTTACCTTAGCAATGTTGAAAATAATGGAACGTGTTCTCCACTCTGGCCACTTGACCGTCCTCGCACAAGGCGGAAAGGATCAAAGAAGACAAGTTAATCATTTCCCATACAATTATGAGAACCAACTGCCTTTTTGTGGCCCACAGAGCCTAGAAGGCGGCCTTGGCACCCGGTATATGCTGGTAGGGGAGAGTGCGCAGACAGCTTCCCCTGCCCAGGCTGAGCGAGGGTCAGGGACTCTTCTGGCTGGCCTTCCCTGCTCTAAACTAAACAGGAGATTTCTGCAGAGGTGACAGCACAGGCTTCACAGATCAATCATTGTGCACGAAACTCATTTCCTGCTGCCCAGATAGGCTTTGCTCAATACTTTCTGCTTTGGAACACTAAGAAGGTCACTGAGATCATCAGTGTTACAACCTCTGTGTCTAGCATCCTCCCCTCTAGGGAGCCCCGAGGAAACATTTTCCCAAGACAAACATTAGTGAGGTACAGAGAAAAGAAACTGGAGAAAGTGCTGAAAACATGGTGCTCACAGAGGACATTGGCCAGGAAAAGATCTTAAAGGAACCAAAGCAATCGAAGCTTCCTTAGAACCCATTCCTAGCCACGTTCAGTTCAAAGCTACCCTAGCAGGGAAAACTAACTGGGAGGCAGGCCCTAGGGGCATACCCCTCAAGGAAGCCACCCCTCTGTCTGTCCCCTCATAACTTTCAGACTCGGTTAGGATAATAATAGCAGTCAATAAGCACTGACTATAGCTTGCACTGAGCTGGAGTGGGTGTTTGGGCTTTGTTAATTTAATTCAGTCAGTGCCATGTAGACAGCATGGAAGCTCCCAAGGGTGCAGTGGCTTGTCCCAGTTCACCCAGTGCTTCCCATTTGCTTCTCTATGAAAAGTTATAAAAGTATAACTCATCTTTTTTTTTTTAAAGTGTTCCTTGGCACAGAGTTCAAGGACTTCTAAATATCTGGCATCTTACAGATCACAGCAAATGAAGTTCCAGATCTGCATTCTTCAAAGTCGACTGCAACACTCGATAGAACAGCATCTCAGACTTGAGGCCAAATGCTCCTACTCAAAATCAAAGGGGCAAAACAGGCCCAGTAGGAAAAAAGTTTATCAGATCAAGATCTTAGCTACCCTTAGAGCTTCAGGGCAGCTGCCATTATTTGGCATCTGGAACCTTCTCCATTAAAGGCAACTCTTTATTCTAGTCCAAGAAAAGCAATAAAGCATAGAGTTTTGTGTGGGGGCAGAAACAAGCACAAGAATCTTCTGTCACTCTTGTCATGGTTATTGATGAGTCTTCTTATTGTGAACGATCTGACTGTGGAGTGGTCCCTTTCCATTTTATGGAGGAAAACAGAACTTTCAGAGACCTAGATGACAGACATCCAACTCCATGGTTCCTTCTTCATTGAATTTAGGGGTAGGAAAAGACAAGAGAAACCCAGGCAGTCTCACCTGTGCTAGCTTAAACCACAGGGTGCTGTCATGATTCCCTAGCAGGGTTCTGACAGAAGGGGTTGGGAGAATCCAGCTAGCTGTGCCTGGACATGCGTGCAGCACTCCACAAGGAAAAAGAATAGAAGGTTGGCCAGAGAAGTCACCACTCTTAGGAAAGTCCCTTTAACCTAGGCCATAAAGGGGACAAGCCCCAGGGAAAATTGTGACTTTAGCAGCAGGTGGCAGAGACAATTAGGAGAAGTTTGCTTGAGTGCTCACCCCTCTGTCTCCATCCCTCTCCTGAGGCTGGAACACTGCTACCAGCCTAGCTAGATCTTATCACCTGGTCTTCTCCCTCCGCTCCAAGCTCACCTGCAAATGAGCATATCCTTACTTAACCTCTTCCGATTGTGGGAACAAGTTTGTGGCACTGAGGATTTTGCTTTCTTCTATAGATGGCAAGTTGACATTTAATGGGAGAGTTCTACAAACACTGTCTTCAAAGCAAAGTCTAAAGTTTCTGTTCTGTGGATGATGGTATGGGGTTAGAGGGAAGGAGAGAGAGCAAATGGCCTGACAGGATGCCAACTGGGAGAAAGGAGAGAGGGAATCCTTGACTAGTCTCAAGGGGGGAAATGCTGTCAATCACAGCTAATTGTTATTACATAGTTACATAGGCCCAGGGTCACTAGGTTGTTAAAATTTTCCTCCTTAGATAACTCAGAAGACTGGATAATTACAAAGTCTCATTTAACTAGTGGCAAGCTTCAAAAGAGATAAATAAAAACATATTTCTTGATTTGTATTACATTTATTTTGTGTGTACCACAGAACAGGTATGGAGGGCAGAGGACAGTTTGTGAGAGTTGATTCTCTCCTTCCACCATGTGGGTTCTGTGAGTTGGACTTGGGGTGGCAGGCTTTGTGGCAATGCCTGTACCTGCAGAGACATCTTGTCAGCTCATATCACCTACTTTAATATAGACCATGGTCTATCCATACTTGGCGACTCCTTTTTAAAAAAAACAGACTTTGGTCATATTGCCTACAGATGGAATGAGACTATCACCTCACCACAAGTGGATAGATATGCACATTACAAGTCCACCATTCCCTGAGAATGAAAAGACTTTGTCCTTTCGCAAAGGATTTGATGAGCACAATACACTGAGGGCTCTATTTATTTGGCAACTGAAATGGCTTACTTCTCAGTTTTCTATTGTTTCCAACTCCAGCAGGCGATAGATTTGTGGAATTTTAGATGGTTCTTTCTGATGCCCCACATTATTTTTAAATTGAGATAAAAATCATCTAGCAGGGAGCTGGAGGGATGGCTCAGTCATTACGGACATTGGCTGCTCTTGTAGAGACCCTGAACCCATGTGACGGCTAACAACTATCAGTAACTCCAGTTCCAGGGGACCTGATGCCCTCTTCTGACATCCATGAGCATTGTATTACATGGGTGTATTTATATACATGTAGGCAAAACACTCAAACATAAAGTTAAAAATAATTTAAAGCATCTAGCAGAATTAACCATTTCAAAATGTACCATTTGAAGATAGCTCAGTTAATAAAGTGCTTGCTGCATGAGTTCCCTCCAGGACCCATGTAAAAAACTGGGTATGGCTGTACATACTTATAATCTCAGTACTAGGGAGGCAGAGACAGGCAGGCAGATACTTGGGGATCACTGTTCAGCTTGCTTAACCTAATCATCAAGTCCCAGGTCCCACCAAGAGACCTTGTCTCCAAAATCAGGTGGATGCCCCCTAAGGAACACTCATGGTTGACCTCTAGCCGCCACATGTGTGTACATACATGTATACCCACATCTCCAGCACATGTATCCACACATAAACATGCACACACAGGAGTACAGTTTAACAATATTTGCTATATTCATAATGTATGTAACCATAACTAACCTCTAGTTAGTTCCTTAACATTTCAAAGAGAGGAAATTCTATACCTGATAAACAGTGTTGCTCCAGCCCCCTTTATCCTTTAGGGGCTGGAGAGCTGGTTCTGCCTTAAGACCACTGGCTGCTCTTGCAGAGGTCCAGGGTTCAGATCCCAGCACCCACATGGTGGCTAACAACTGTCTGTAATTCTAGTTCCAGAGGATCCGATACCTTCTTCTGATCTTCATGGGCATTGCACGACAGGGTGTACTTACATACATGCAGGCAATACACTAATACACATAAAATAAAATAAATAAATATTTAAAAAAAATAAAATATTTGAAAAAAAATTCTTTAGGAAGCCTGCTGTAGTGGCACACACCTTTAATCCCAGCACTCAAGGTCGACACAGGCAGATTTCTGGAGATTGAGGTCAGCCTGGTCTACACAGCCAGTTCCAGGCCAGCTGGGGCTACAGGGAGACCCAAAAAGACAAAAAAGTTTTTAGGGCATACACCTAGGGGAGGAG